CGCCACAATGACACTGGATGGAAGTCGAATGCGGGGCGCATCCTATGAATGAAGTCGACTAACGCCGAAGACTTTACAATGTGATCTTGTGACTATTCAATTTGTTCCCTAAATGATGGCTTACTGAAGAAAACAAACTTAAAGATGAAGATGAAGAAGTAGATAATGCAGGTATTTGAGGTCAGATCTTCTTTGTGCAGAGCTTTATATCTCGGGGTCTATTGCAAGGGCGCATCTCTTTATCCCTTAGGGATTGATCAACGCCCGAAGGATTCATCCTCTTATCCTTTAGGCAGCGGGATCTATGGTAACTATAAACTTATAATAACTAGATCCATCATCTTCTGTTTATCATTTGACGCCAAATCCAAATTCATCCAAATTCTTGAATGATTACCGTTCCAGGTTCTGGTGTGAAACATGTTCCCATGTAACTACTTACGCAATTGAAATATAAGTCGAATTCATGGCGTGCCTCTGTATTGTTGTTCAGTTCCATATCTAGTTCATCTTTTCCATTAACTTGAATAGCCAAGACGGATCAAAATCCTGCACTCACTGCTAGCATTTCCGTTCGTGCGGACTCTCCAACCTCCATTCGTACAAGGTCATCGGGCCCGATTGGATTCTGTGGCGATATTCCAATGAAGCACGGAGAACTACTCAAGTCCCACGAACGACCATTTTATATTTCCATTTAAAAACCAGCCAGATTCTTAAAAAAAATTGAATGATGAAACTAGAAATCCACGAGAGTGAAAACCATGGCGAATTCAATCGGAGGCGGAGTTAACTGAACTTTCTCCGGAGTGACTTTTATCGATCGTGTTCCTGCGGAGGTCGTCCATCACATGGGATGAACCATGAGGGAGGGTCTAGGCTATCCAGTATCCAGTCCGCACTGGGCAATTCTGGACCATCGGAATTTCAGTTTCAATGGAGCGATCGATGCGTTCGCGAATAGTATGTGGGTCAGTCACAGATACGCATTGTATCACTCCAGAAACATTCAAATTCGTCACCTTCCGTCAACTTACGAAACTTTTTCTCATCGCTGAGCTTGAACGCTCACTTGGCCGTTTTCTCAATTTCACTATGATTTCCCAAAATTGTCATTTATATTATTCAGGGAGTTGCGATCATTGGTATCTTTTTATTCATATTAGACGCATCCTCTTCATTACTGACGCTTATTTTTTTACTTTATTCTATGTGCTCTGTGTGGAAA